CTGTATATGTTTCTGAGAGCGTTCAGTATTTGGGAAAATGATCGGCAAAACAAAAGATACACTCATGTTTGATGGCTTTTTAAATGTAAACCAACAAATAATGGATATTTGGTGGAGAAGTATCACAGTCATGTATTGGACCTTAAGTTTGCAATGTCTCTCATACAGTTATCACCCTAGCAGCATTTTGATAATGTTTATTATATTTTCAGTTCAAGTCCAGTTTTCAAGTGCATACTTTCTTCCATCTGGGAGTTCATACACATCCAGGTATTTGCCTGTGTGAATCTGTTTCCAATATCTGGGAACAATCAGTGATAACTTTGGGGGTCTGTGAATGATTATGGGGGTCCAAAGCTGACCCTGAAGAGGTCGCGCCAACTATTTCATGGTGACTAATAGGTAATGAGATTATTGATTTCAGTTGTAAATTAAAAAATTTGTTTCAATTTTTCCAAATAGTTTTTTGAAATAGGTTAAAACAAAGACTGAATTAGAATATTCAAATGCTATTTTCAATAATGTCACTTAAAAGAACAGTTTAGCAAAGATTGCCAAACCATAAAACAAAATATTCATGCAATGCTCTGGTCTTATTATTCTGTAACATCTAGGAATATATAAACAAAGTTTTTTAAAGAATTTAATTGATACAATTTTCAACAACATGATTCAAACATGAATATATACAATGAGAGTTTGAGTCGGACTGACAAAGTGTTGGATATTTGATTAAAAATGCTGTAAGAATGTTCCAAAATGCAATTGTAATGGAATAATGATGCAGAAAAAATTATAAAATATCAGGAAAATGTTCCTGAATGTCCAAATGTCTCTATGTTTAGTGAAAACACTGATAGACTTACGTACTATTGTGAATACTCTTACACTCAATAATTCATGAGATCTGTTTACCTTCCCACTCAATACGCAATTCAATAAACTCACCTGTCATTCTGTCCAGGGCTCTTGATATACAATTCCACGATCTTTTCTCCCAGAATTACCACACATAGTACACACCGCAAAGAAACCACAATATTATGATCATAAATCTAAAACTCCAGGATCCACAACACTGTTACATGATATCCAGATTTGTTCTCAAAGGTAAAATCTCCGCATGCTACGACAGGAAACAGCTGCACCAGACATACTCAATGCTCTAAAGCAGTATAAAACTTGCTCCACAAGGACTCTGCTCCTATGTAACGGCATTCTGACAACTAAGGATTCTTGTAATTAAAATGTGTATTGATCCTGGTGTGTATGGGAGGCCACGGGGGTCATAAAGTGATAAACCACAATACCGCCTGTAGTGGTCTTTTCACTCGCCCAATTCTTGTTTATGTACAATACAGAAAGAACCTCTTTCTACAATGGGCATACCCATGTGTATGGCAGTGTATACGTCCTTTAGAAAAGCCTGTATACAGTTTGCGCTTGAGCTTGCGTCAAACTCTTGCTACCGCTACGGCTTTGTGTATGTGTGTGCTTGACCGAGCTTGGACAAATGTATGTCATAACATTTGAGATTACTGACATCAGCTTGACGGTATCAGGCTTAACAACTTTCAGGTACTGTGTCGTCTTTACAATAATCTTTTGATGATTATTTTTTGGGAGGTCATAATAGATTAGAATAGGACTGGAAATGATAGATGTGACGAACTCAGTTACATGCAACAGACTTAGTTTCGCTTGTATGAATATTTAAAAACTTCAGTTTTGAATTCCCTTCTTTCACATCTCCATAGTCCACTCTGAGTGTGCATTTCTAAACATGTTTGATATAGTATTGAACTGTACGCCTGACGTAACATAGGATTAATTCAAATTTAAATATGAAATCCGTATTTCACATATGACACAACTACATTTGACATTTTAGAAGTTGGGAAGTATTATATTAAACGAACATCAAAGATAACACATAACTGCTTGACAACAGGACAAAAATCTTTATCGAAACGTCACACCCACGTAATAAAAGAAGTTGTTGTCCATAAAGTCTGTTCAATAAAGAAGAAAGCATCCTACACCCCACAAAAACCTTGTCTTAGATTATAACAGAGGTACAGATAAGCTGTGTATCTGCGTAAATTACGCCAATATTTATGCGAAAACTCAATTCCTATTAAGTACAAGTACGCTTCAATTTTTGTAAATACTCAATAAATGTGATCTTACATGCGTACACACAAAAATGTCAAATCTTAGCTTGCATACGTGTGGATAGATAAAATAACTGAGGTATATTGAGAGGTTCTATTTCAGGACATGAACTTGACAACTTGCAGTCTTTCTTAGCGTTTCTCATATCACAGATCAAATGTAAATAACAAACACTAAAATTTAAAGTTTATAATATTTTTAAAATTAATGGAAAATGGCAAAATACCCAATTGAGCCTGAGTGAGGTGAGTACAATTTATTTGGTTACTCAAAAGAAAATTAGGATACCCAATTGAGATGAACACAAGTGAGTACATAACTCAATGACCCAAATGTTATCTGTAGCTCTGTATATACCTCTCAGTTCCCATAAAGAAAGCATCATACACCCTAAAAAAAACCTCTCTCAGAATACTGTTCAACCAAATACTCTTCCTCTCAATAGTATCCATGCCTCGAAATACTCCCAAACCTATGAAAAAACACTGTACACCTGACAAGGACACCTCTTCAGTCTAGAACCTGATATGACTAGCACACACTGAAACGGAACGTCAACCCAGGCTATACATGTTTACTGATTGTCAGATTAAGTTGCTGCTTATGTGACATATGTTAAAACAAACACAGATATGTGCACTACAGCTCTTCCTTGGTGTAAGGAGATTTATCAGGACTAACGTGGAAATGTGACACAAACTCCACGTGGGGTAAGATTTTCACCACAGCTCACACAAGCCTGGTGTATAATAGAAATATGACGCTACCAGGCACACACTTAGCACTAAATACATATTTATCATAGGTTTGTGCTAGGAAATAAAAGATTTATTTCCTGATAAGAATGTTATGACTTATAATGAATTGCTGTTTTACATTGACAACTTTGACCTTTGCTCTGTATTACTAATATAATTACTGACATATTCAGAAGGAAAATCAATATCTCTGATACCAACTGATATGTATTTGAATTTTTTGGGCACAACCATTTGATATTCTGGGTCAATGGGTGTATTGTGGTGGTAGAGGGTTTTCAGCTAGAGCTGCTAAAACTTTATAATTATGGACATAATTGTCAATGGTGGGAATGATATGAAGATAATTATCAATAGCATGATATTGATATGGAGATAACTATCAATGCTGTGACTGATATGGAAACAATTGTCAATGGTGGGAATGATATGAAGATAATCATCAATAGCATGATATTGATATGAAGATAATTATCAATGCTGTGACTGATATGGAAACAATTGTCAATGGTGGGAATGATATGAAGATAATTATCAATAGCATGATATTGATATTGAGATAATTATCAATGCTGTGACTGATATGGAAACAATTGTCAATGGTGGGAATGATATGGAGATAATTATCGATAGCATGATATTGATATTGAGATAATTATCAATGCTGTGACTGATATGGAAACAATTGTCAATGGTGGGAATGATATGGAGATAATTATCGATAGCATGATATTGATATGGAGATAATTATCAATGCTGTGACTGATATGGAAACAATTGTCAATGGTGGGAATGATATGAAGATAATTATCAATAGCATGATATTGATATGGAGATAATTATCAATGCTGTGACTGATATGGAAACAATTGTCAATGGTGGGAATGATATGGAGATAATTATCAATAGCATGAATGATATGGATATAATTATCGATGGTGTGTGTGACTGATATCGATAAAACCTTTTACACGCTTTTAAGTGAGTTGTTTTGTTCCTGAAGTAGATAATGCTAGTGGTAACCATAGCAACCATATTACTGATACTGATATATCACAAGTGTTATTCTTATTAGAGACAGGTCCGGTTTGTACAGAGGCATGTACTGACTGACTGAGTTTGGCTTACGCTGCTTGTAGCAATATTCCAGCAACATCACGGCAGGGAACACCAGAGTGGGCTTCACACATTGTACCCTTGTGGGGATTCAAACCCGGGTCTTCGGCGTGACGAGCCAACACTTTAACCACTAGGCTACCCCACCGCCCCACAGAGGCATGTAAGGTGACAAGCATGGAGATATGCCAACAGCACCATCAGTTTGTGAACAATGCAATCAACAGTTGAAAATATTTTGCGTTTGTCTATCACACTATCTGCATGCTTTTAGAAAAATGGAAAAATGGAAAAATGGAAGAGTAATAAAAACAATAAAAACTGCAAGACTGAATGTGATGAAAATGTCTAGCAAATACACAAGTTACCATTTTTGTAATGTCTAGCAAAATCACAAGCTACCATTTTTGTAATGTCTAGCAAAAACACAAGTTACTGTTTTTGTAATAAAAATGTGCTAGCAAAAACAAAAGTTACCATTTGGTAAAGAAAATAGCAAGCAAAAACTCAAGTTACCATTTTAGTAATGAAAATAGCTAGCAAAAACACAAGCTACCATTTTTGTAATAGCAAAGTGCTAGCAAAAACTCAAGTTACCATTTTAGTAATGAAAATAGCTAGCAAAAATGCAAGTTACCATTTTTGTACCCATGTAGATAATCAATACATTATGGAACAATTATCAGGAACATGATGGAGACCAGAGAAAAATACTGTTTTCCTTTCAGAGCATCACAACATGTTATTGGTTTTAATGTGAGATTTTAAGCAGTTCGGGAGCCAAACCTAGAATTTGGCTGACCTGGTCACTTTTCATTCTTAACAATTTTCGGGGGTGAGACAAACTATAAAATTATCTGCCATCTTTAGAGAGTATACAAGATATTGGCAAGTTTTAGATGGTCATTCAGATTGTAACCATTTTAGATGGGAAGTATTTTGCATACATACCATGCAAGTGTATTCTGCCATTGTTTACTCCTCCTGGGTTGTTTCCATGGTTACCAGATCCTTGAATAGTGCTGTAACCTGACAAGAAAAATAAATTTCTAAACACAGTCAAGATGGTTGCATTTCTGATTTAAAGTCAGACACTGGGGCATCTGCTTATGTCAGTAAATTTACAGTGTACTTTGGTGATGAAGTTAAGAATACAATATTAGATAACTAATCATTTGACATAGATGCAATATTTTTGACTGTGTGACTTTTGGTAACCTAATTAGTATCTGAAGAAAAGTACTGTTTAGAGTTCATCATGCGAGTTTGTTTCATCAACAACGTGCTCGGAGAATGGCAAACAAAGACTGACTTTTAACGTTGCCTGGTGATTTTAATGCGCTTCAGTCAACTTGCACCCATGACCCTGTTGCCGTCAACTCCAAGGGGCTGGCTGTTCCAGTCATGTTGCGAGCTGCACAAGCGCTCACGGGAAGACAGGCAAATTAGTCAAGCGTCGCACAAGCGCTCACGGGAAGACAGGCAAATTAGTCAAGCGTCACATCATCCACTCTGTGTTAAGAAGTTACGGTGATGTTTTCTGTTTTAACTTTTTTTCAACAAAAATCCTACACCGAAAGTCATCTCATGACTTCTGTCGTTTTGACGTGAAGAACATGGGTCATAATGCCCCAAATATCCAAAGTATCCTTGACCTACTGTCTGAAGAGCTCCCCGTGCACATAAAGTGTACAAAAGACAGAATGTATGTTTCAACGAAAAGAACCTTTCTATTGCCAGTTATCTGCACTTGTCAGACATCTTTTATTTTATCATTACGCGTAACAACCCGTATTTCTGACAAATAGAATCAGAAACGCCAATAAACGATCAGGTTACAGACATTGTGTTTTGCCACATTGAACCGTAAGTCAAACTATGCATTGAAGAGTATACTTCCCAAATATGCATTGGTACTTAGCAATACAAACATATGACCCGTGGGAATTTGGGGTAATAACATAGGTCCCCTAGGTCTGTCGTTAATGGATCTTTTGATGGAGCTCTGTGACGTCATTGATTGTATTTCATCCTGTCCAGATTACGTGGACCGAGACTCGTGAGGCTAAGTACGTGATTGTCTCTTCCGTACTCCATTGTTTGTCGACCCCGGTGATATAGCTGCAATATTGCCGGTTGCGCCGTTCAACGATAAACCCATCATAACGGTACATTGCCACAAACAGAGGAATTAACGAATGCTGAGAAAAAATATTAACCAAGACACAGATAATTTCCGCTGTTAATATCCATTATATGGAACCGGATATATCACACGTTCGGTGAATTTTCAATACACAAATGGGTAACTTCCTGGAACCATGCAATCAGTTAATTCCACAGTAATTGTGTTTTCACCTTGTTGACCCGATAGTGCGTTAGTAATACCGTCGGTAGAGTGGTTTACGAACTCACCTCTGGTCATTAGTGAAATTACACGAACGTTTTTCGTGATATGATATGTTCCTTAAAAAAATTAGGCGACGCATTATGTAGTTTCTTTGTCGTAGTGGAAGCTTTGAAACTCGATCAGATACTGTCTGATCATCGTGAGAGAAAGAGAGAGAGGAATGACTATTGGTGCCAGAGTTACCATAATTCTTGAAGGCAAGATAACCACATTTGCCATTGTCCTTTCGACGCAATTTCAATTAAGGCGCTGTTAACGTAACGAAACCCTGACGGAGGACAACGATGTGTATAGGTAGACTGTGCCCTTTGAATTTCGTCGTTTTACTTCCATAAAGCATAACAATGTAACAATAGCTCACGCAGCCGGTCGGACATAGCCGATAAAACCAACAGACACGTATAACGCTGTCAATCTCTGTTCCCTTTGAGATTAACAGATACAAAATCTAACAGCAGCTTAAAATATTTGAAAAAGGTCATGCAGCCGGTCAGACATAGCCGTTAAAACCAACAGACACGCATAACACATTCAATCTCTGCTCCCTTTGAGAATATCAATACGAAATTTTATTCTTTACACTAAGAGCACAGAAAACCGTGCAGCTCACGGGACTAAAACTCACTGTTACCATGGCAACCGAAACAATGTAGTCCCTGTTAGTTAAAATCGATTATGTAAACATCACGTTAATTTCATGTCTTATAATGCACAAACCAATCATGAATGAAAAAAAAGACAATTTACGAAGTAATGAGCGAAATATGCAGGTACGTATTCCAGTAATAACCAGGCTGTCGACAAACAACGTCATACTTCTACTGTAAGGGGGATAATTGTTATGTTCGTGACATGGCTGATGCATATTACCATTATCTGTAGTTATGTGCATATTTCGTTGTCAATGTCGCACGACGTCGATAATTCATACACACACATATGTGAGGATTCAGGCTACAGCAACCTACGCTGGTCGAAAGAGGCGAATATACGGATCGTGTTGTCAACGTCTAGGACGTGCTGGATTGCGTGTCACAGTATCCCCCGTTGGAGCGTTGCTAATGATGTCAATCACTTGATTGTCTGGTCCATTTCTGATTTATGATTTATTACAAGAAGTCGACATATAGCTGGAAGAGTCCGGCGTTAGGCCGCAGACTAACACAAACATTATTGCAAGGCTATTTGTAAAGTTACATCACTTCTTCTTGGGGTAGGTCTGTATCCTGTGCTTATCCTGAATGGTGTCAGTGTCAGATCATATGGCCCCGTATCCTTATGGGGTTGTGCTCATGTCATTTTTATTCCTTTAATTCCTCTTCAATCACATCTTTGATTCAACAGTCCACAATGATAACTGAATGATGTTTCATTTATCCATTCAACAGCGAGGCCAGTCCCCATTCAGAACGAGGTACATGTATACTGGACAAAATAAGTTAGGGATATTGGTATTTTTATGATTTATATTTTATCAGTGTATCAATTAATAAATAGATCATTATTCATATATTTACATATATCCCTAACTATTTTATTCCAGTATATTTGGAATCGTCATGCAAACATAAATGGTTCTTTGAATTAAAAAAAACGAACCTGGATTTAGTCGAAATGTGACCCGGAAAATAAAGAAACCAGCACCAAAGATAAATAACAGCAGCCATTCAAATGATAAAATAAACACACATTCATACGAAAAACAAAAACTTCTTCTCCATTATTTATCGACACATTTTCATCATTAATGCCTGTTGGGTTTCATGCAGACCAAAGTACACTTATGTGACTAATAATATGTGTCTGAAACATGGTTGTCCTTGCAATTTGGTAACACTTTATCTACTATATAAACCACAGATTGGTGGTACTTGAATACATGTTCCTTGAACCGTTTCATTCAGTAACGATTTATATCTGATTCCTTTTTAGTGAGCTCTCTCTTCAAGGCTGGTTCAGGTGTGGTAATGAGGAGAAACGAAAGCTAATTGCCTCCGTCGTTCTTTCAAAGGCAGTATTTCATTTGGCATGTCATCTCTTAGCGACCATTATCAATCATTATGTACTATCCGAGGCAGGAGCTAACTTACATACAGATCGATACCATTCGGAACACCTAATCTCGTATATGAAGGTAGGTAGCGGAATAGGTCGAGTGGCTCGGAATGTCGTGGATACATTGAAAGATGCTTTCTCTGCAGGTGGAAGGTATTAACAATACGTCTATCAGTGACACCTTACTCATCAGTGACAACAAATGTTTACCGATGCAGTTCAATATTTTGGTGTCTACATTGCTTCTTTTGACACCCATTTATCAGGGCTAGAATTGGTCTTCACCAACCCACTCGTAAAACTGGGTAATATTGGGTGGTCAGTCTCGCTGATTTGGTTGATGTCATCGTATCCCAATTGGCCGGTCAGTCTTGCTGATTTGGTTGATGTTATCGTATCCCAATTGGGTGGTCAGTCTCGCCGATTTGGTAGATGTCATCGTATCCCAATTGGGTGGTCAGTCTCGCTGATTTGGTTGATGTCATCGTATCCCAATTGTGCAGATCGATGCTCAGGATGTCAATACTGGATTTTCTGGTCTTCTACAGGACTTTGCCATAGAGGCCGAATGTTGCCGAGTGCGGCGTTAAATAACCAAACACCGTTTTAGGTACAAACGAGCCTTCTCTTCTGACGATAAAATTCCAGTAACAACCTACGGCCCTTCTTCAAAAGCCTTAAAGCTTTCGGTAAGATTCATGGTAGACTCCTGGAGGATATATCCATATTTGACGCATCAATGACAAAACATATGTCTGATGCAATTCCCAGTTCTGACATGAACTAGATGTCCATTGTTTGTGGATACATTTACTTGCCTTTGCATGGATTTGTGACGGATGCCATCGGTGTCACAGGCTACGCTCATCTGGTAGAGTATCTGATTGATAGTGACTCATCAAAACATCCTCATAATATAATCGGGATCGTACAATGGACTCAGGTTTTATTGGAGATTTCTTACGGAACCTTATGTTTTTTATGGAAACTCATGGTTTTGTAAGCAGGGTTACACTCCACAGCTAAATGTTACCACCAAGAGCTAATTCTAAGCGCTGTTTCGCCCTGGAATAGACTAACATACATTCGACTTACATATGTTATCGTGTTATATTAGCATGATGGAATTATAGAGAGGGTCGTATTGCGACCACTGATTGAGTTTAGTCATGTTTAGGTCTTTACATCGAACCGGCATTCTGAAAGTCCACGTGTAGCTGTAGAGTAACAAGTGACGTTTGTACTACTGAAAGGTGACCTGGGACGTTGGCAATCAAAGATTCATACAATTCAGGCAGATTCACTTGACCTGCAAACCAATATGATGTGTGTGATCTCGATCTTGATAAGGGGTGGCGAAGATACACGTTTTCACCTTTAAAAGTATATGGCATCGTATCTAACTAATCCAGCGGTATCAGTATGCAGTCCTTGTTTTATTCCCAGTCTTGTAATGTCTTTTGTAATGACGCTGTTAGGGATCCAACCATCCACGTTCCACGCCATTTTGGGTTTACAGGTGCCCCCTTGGATATCTTAGGTCTACCTTGAAGTACATGTAATTCATAGTGCTTTGTAGATGGAGTGTTTGCCTGTATAAGGAAGGTCGGTGATTGGATATACGACTGCGTCAAACGAAAGGAGTCAAGAAATGGTACTTGTTGTTACCCTGACTGGCGCTCGGCTTCAAGGGAATAGAACGAGGACTATTCATGCTAAATGCGACATGCTCACACCATGGCTAGGTTCTACAAAACCGGCCTATGCTTAGTCTAGCACACGCACACGCACATACACACGCACGGTCATACGCACACACTAGATCTGTTATCTACTATGAAGTAATAAATACATATCTATAAGCCTCCCCACAATCACAGCGTCCTGGCACAGCTAAGGGAAGCAACTCTACAGCACCTTAAACGACAGACTACTTGCGCCGTTTTTCTAAATTGATAAATCAGAATGATTTTGTCTGAAGATGTTGTGCGTTGATGGCCTCTGATTTGAGAAGCCATTTCCTTGCATCATTTCGCCCTCACCACACCCTCCTCAAATATAACCTCGTTTGCCGGGGATAATAGGTTATTGATCACAGTAGCCATAGCAATTAATGGATCCATGTATACTGACACATCAAGAAACAGCAGAGCAGAAAGGTCATTTCCCTTGAGGACAATTGTCGGAAGAAATGGTTCCAACTAAATGTTAACGATAATTAATTTCACGAATGAAACAATATCATGTACCATTGATGAGAAGAAGTGTCAGCTAAACAGACTTGCTTGAATTACTTGCCTGCCACATTCCTTACTTGCAAAGGGCAAAGTTCCTGTACAAATGAACATTTAAAATATCCTGGGAATTGTTCTCGTTTATGTTTTACAAGACCACATCAGCAAAGTAACCTTTGAAGCGTTCAGAATGTCGTCACCATGAAGCTAATACTATTTGTTTTGTTTCTTTTTCAGCGCCGCACTCCACAATATCCTAGCTAGATGACGACGATGTTTCACCCTTACCACACTATAACCTCCCAGATACTACGTCAGAGACATACAAATATAAAACAAAGAAACAAAACAAATTATTATATCAAAATCTACAATTTTGGGTAACAACACACCGAGAGCTTTACTGACGTGTCTTGTGACAACAGGGTGAGTGGGTTAGTGAGTTAAACATGCAAGTCTGTATTCCGATGGCGACAACAGGTTATTACCGAGAGCTTTACTGACGTGTCTTGTGACAACAGGGTGAGTGGGTTAGTGAGTTAAACATGCAAGTCTGTATTCCGATGGCGACAACAGGTTATTACCGAGAGCTTTACTGACGTGTCTTGTGACAACAGGGTGAGTGGGTTAGTGAGTTAAACATGCAAGTCTGTATTCCGATGGCGACAACAGGTTATTACCGAGAGCTTTACTGACGTGTCTTGTGACAACAGGGTGAGTGGGTTAATGAGTTAAACATGCAAGTCTGTATTCCGATGGCGACAACAGGTTATTACCGAGAGCTTTACTGACGTGTCTTGTGACAACAGGGTGAGTGGGTTAGTGAGTTAAACATGCAAGTCTGTATTCCGATGGCGACAACAGGTTATTACCGAGAGCTTTACTGACGTGTCTTGTGACAACAGGGTGAGTGGGTTAATGAGTTAAACATGCAAGTCTGTATTCCGATGGCGACAACAGGTTATTACCGAGAGCTTTACTGACGTGTCTTGTGACAACAGGGTGAGTGGGTTAGTGAGTTAAACATGCAAGTCTGTATTCCGATGGCGACAACAGGTTATTACCGAGAGCTTTACTGACGTGTCTTGTGACAACAGGGTGAGTGGGTTAGTGAGTTAAACATGCAAGTCTGTATTCCGATGGCGACAACAGGTTATTACCGAGAGCTTTACTGACGTGTCTTGTGACAACAGGGTGAGTGGGTTAATGAGTTAAACATGCAAGTCTGTATTCCGATGGCGACAACAGGTTATTACCGAGAGCTTTACTGACGTGTCTTGTGACAACAGGGTGAGTGGGTTAGTGAGTTAAACATGCAAGTCTGTATTCCGATGGCGACAACAGGTTATTACCGAGAGCTTTACTGACGTGTCTTGTGACAACAGGGTGAGTGGGTTAATGAGTTAAACATGCAAGTCTGTATTCCGATGGCGACAACAGGTTATTACCGAGAGCTTTACTGACGTGTCTTGTGACAACAGGGTGAGTGGGTTAGTGAGTTAAACATGCAAGTCTGTATTCCGATGGCGTCAACAGGTTAATTCCGTATTTCACAGGTAACACTGATATTTACCTTTGTTTTCAGAAGAGTACAACAACTCTCGTAAACGTTTAGTTTAAAAGTAAGCGATTGTTTCATTCTCCAGAGGCAGACACCCATAATATTTCTTAAGAGTTATGAGAAATCGAATGGCAGACTTATAACACTGGTAATTGTAAATTGTCCGGTAATATCTTAATTTTCTATCTTTATCTAATCAAATTACCTTTAATATTCAGTGTAAGTTGTGCCCTCGAACGACGATGTTCACCCAATAAATCTTGTGCGTCTTTGAATAATAAGTCTAAATTATAAAAGTCAATAATAGGTTCGTAGTTTCTGAAAATGATTTATGATTTTGTGGCAAGTGTTTGAATGTAACCATTTTATATTTTGATTTGTTTTGTTTTTTTGCAAAACATTAAAGGCTCCAAAAGTAAAGTGTGTATAATGTTGTGTCATAGCATGCTAATTTTACACGTGAGCTCGTCGCTATATGGCTGAAACAATGCTGATGCGACGTAAGATTTAACTCACTCACTCTGAAAATGAAGAAAATTCGCTAGATCTTGTTACAAATATACGTTAAAAGGCATTTAAAAAGAAACATATTATTACAAGGCAATAATATCATGCACTGAGTGCCTGTTTAGCACAGTACCTGTAATGACCATTTCTGGCACCGGAAGTGGCTGTGGTGAGCTGGGTGAGCGCTGATTCGCCCGAGGGGTCAGCGCCCTCTTCCCCTTAATGGGTAACGGGGGAAGACGTCGGTTGTTCATTTGGCAGAGAATGATCAAGAAGTACCGACAGTTACGTCATTGATGTTACCATGGTGACTGGAAGGTTGGGCATCTGAAAGGTATGATGAATAAGATACATGTCGCATCCGAAATAGCATTCAGAATGGTTGTTCATACGTAACCGGAAACAGACCAGAAATAGTTTGCTTGATTTCTGTGATTGTGATAATGATCTTTAATCCTTGTTATATTTACTTGTACGTACATGACTGATTCATGTCACCCAAATAGCATTAGGCAGAAGTGAAAATGAGTTTTAGATATAATGCCATCAACGGACACTTCAATACCCGTTGTAGGCTATTCGATGTCACGTGTTTCAAGGTTTTCAAGCACGCCACACATACAATGACTTCAAGAACGGCAACCTTGAATTAGGTGAATTTGTGACGGTTGTTTTTCTTATCAAAGTTACATAATGGCTTCACGACTGATTAGAAAAACAGAATGAAACACATTTGTATCAAATGTTCTGGAGAGCTCGTTCAGATCAATAAGAAGTAGAGCAATGAACCTCAAACCGCCCACAACCACATTGTTGTCTCAACACTCTCTTTACCATGGTCCATATGGAGAATACCGGTTTAACGAACCCCCGAACGCCCACCGGCACCGACACCACCCACCGTACCAATTTGCCATTATGTCCCATCAGCCCAGTTATTATGTTCTGCCTGAATGTGTGTATATATTTCCGAATGAGTGAGTATGGTTTTACGCCGCTTTAAGGAACTATTCCAGCAATATCACGCGGGGACACCAGAAATGGGCTTCTCACATTATACCCATGTGGGGAATCGAACCCGGATTTTTGGCGTGACGAGTGAACGTTTCACCACGAGGCTACCCCACCGCCTCAATATGTTTCTGAGCTATCAAGGGGTTATATTTTACATATACTCATGCCAATAATGGTTGTCACCCCCTTCAACTTTTTTAATTGGAGAGGGTGTGTGGGGTGGGGGTGTGAGGTGTGTGTGTTGGGATGTGTGGGGTGACAACCATTATTGACATGAGTATATATAACACCGTACAATACATTCAGAAAGGATGTTATAAATCATTGGAAGAATATCCCATATTTTGACGAACATGCAGTGAGCCCAGTTAATTCTCTGGTACAGTTTCTACGACTGTGATCCTATTAACACTTTACGTGATTAACGATTCGTACGTGTTGTTACAGACAATCCGTGTAGACGTAACCTGCAGCATATATGGGTGGCAGGGTTAACGATATGTCATTGTAAGCTGAAATCCCATTTGCCAATAGATTATGTCCCTTTTGTACTAACGTACCACGATGAGTACCACGTACTCTTGATTTGTCCAAAATATCGAGAAATACGTAAACAGCATTTACGTAATACTTTATTGGAAAATATAAGTATGTTTAAGTTTATCAAATTGTTAAAAGGTGAAAACAGTTTTGAAGTACTGAAAGCTGCAAAGTGTATTTATCATATCTTAAATGAAAGAAACAAAGTTGAATTTTTGTAAATCGTCCATACATATCCTCACTCTTGGGCTATAATGATAATAACAATGTGATTGCTCTCTTTATATACGTACATCGCCATGTGCACAGGCAAATATTCAATATATATATATATTGTATTGGTCTTTGACCTAATAAAAATCTTGTCTTGTCTTGTCTTGTCTTGCTGATTGAGATTCAACTGAACCCTTCTGAATGTGGGGTGTACGGACACACACGAAGCCTCTGGGTTTAACTGCAGGACCCGCAAACGTGTATGGTGCAGACAAACCTAATCGGCACGAACCGGGATTCGAACCGTCAGGTTTTTGGCAAGATCAAGGACACACCTTTTCAGAGGGAATAGTGGCATCTTTGACTTTCTGAAGTTAAATGTGATTATTCTCACCGGTACACCATATCTCTTCAAGTCAGTATATAACATCTATGACAAGAAGATGGAAATATTGTTCACTTTGTCAGTTGGTCAGACATATGGGGTCCCTTGGAGATAACACTTTGACCTAGTGAATGACATGAACTTTCTGTGTGAAAGGAACACACCAATATATTTGTTTTTCTGTTCACGTTATTTGTTCCGTGGGTTAGGTCACAAGAGAGAATGTCTGTTAGTCTGGAGGTCAGAATGTTCGCTCGTCACAAAGGTTTGAGTTCGATCAAGTGTGGTGTCCAAAATAATTGCAGGAACATTGCAATAAATGGCCGAATGAATTCTGGAAACTTATGTACAAACTGTTCATCACTGCAGTTTATCAGTATGGTGTGATATTTATGTTTAGGTGCTTAAAGGTTGAGCTAGTCTGCCTCCCAGACCGTAGAGAATATATTACATAGGAGTCAAACTCAAGTCTAGAATGATTTCAAATTCAAATTGGCCATTCTGGATTGCCTCAGCCCTGAAATTGTGAATTGTTCTTAGCTCAGTTTGGACTTTTCATTTTGATTTAAATCAGATAAATCAATTTCTGTTCAGGGACCAAATGTCAGTCTAAAGTTAAGGTAAAAATATCAGAAATTCAATCTCTCAAGGGACGCAACTCTTACAGCGAGATGGGCGAACCTTCGACCGTGAGGTCGCCTATTCACAAGCGATGAGTAAAACCTAGACTTGCATAAGTCTCTAAGGTAATAATTAATAGTTTAAATGAAAATGTCTAAAAAAATATAAATAACAGTCTGGCGTCCTACTATCCGCTTATCTAGACCTTCCTCTTTAAAGGATAGAATTACTATTCATCCATGGGCTTAGCATTCAGGACAGCCTTGGAGCAAGGCTAAGTAAATCCATGTTTCAAGCATATTTTGTCTGTGCTATTAAATCATCGTTACTTCGGGAACGACATTAATTTGTAAATTATTAAAGTAATTCAATCACTTACATATCGGAGTAAAATCATTAAAATCGATTTAAAACACAGGCTCTTACAAGGTTGAAAAATATACCTAAGAATGCTTTCAACTATACTTGTATCCGTCTCTGTATGCTTGTATATTTAATATTTAACCATTCGTATATTCAATAGACACTCTAGTGTACATATATACTCAAAAAGGCATTTTGTAAGTAACATTATTCTTGCCTTATATTAATATAATGCATGTACCAAACAATTATATTGTGCTTCCGTGCTGAAGACATATTTACAAACAATACAACTCACCTTTCACAGTGTGACTCCATTTTGAAAAGGAAGTATTTTTATCACAAAGCAATCAGCCGACATGTTTTTGTGTGAACGTGTGTGAGATTCAAGAGCCCCTGTCATCAGACAGGTGTGTGACAGAGTGACAGGTGAGGTGCACGGAGAATGATACATCACTCATTTCATGGCTGTGTAATTGACGCTGAACGGATCAGCTATCATCTGGTAACATAATTAATTTGTGTGGGTAGTCACGTTTCACTTGAAGAATGTTTACAGTGAGATTACTGACAGAAACAGCGAAACGTCATCAATCACTTCTCCTGTTTTATGACGTTAAGACTGTTCTGCTGTTAGAGCACGGCACTGTTCGACGGCGGCAATTCAGGACTGTACACATGGCGGGCAAAACAGCATAAACGTTAGCATGCTGGTGTCAGATATACACTGATGTACCTTCTTGTATGTTTCATTTCAATCCACCATGAAACAAATAATGGTGTTTACATATTAATGACCGATTATTTAAAATTATATGCGTGTGCGTGTTCTGTAGTCCGAGAGTTATCAAATCAAAACCATCACTCGTTCAGGTGAAGGGTTTTTAAAGAAATATAACATATTTCCAAAAATGCTGAAAAATTAACTGTTCTCACGTGTCACAGGAACACACGGTTCTCTGGACGTATTAGATGTTCTGCAAAATGTCTTAAGCGTCCCTCAAAAGTAGTTTGACCTTTCTCAGACAATAATGGCATATTGTCTAGCTTTGACTCAAATAATGTTTTTGAACACCCCAGACGCCGCACGTCCCCATCTGACCCCCGCACACACAGAGGTTATCAAAAGTCCCTTTGGCATAAAGATTATAGAGATCCTCTTATAAATCCCCACGTGCCAAGGTGATAAACAAAGGTAAAAACAGTACCTCCTGTCAAGGTATTGCAGTGACAACTGAAACATTATATAGGTTACCGTTAGTTATATCTCGCTGTGTATATGTCTACACAATCAACTGTTTTCACGACTGATCAGAGTGCACTCATTGAAGTACATTGATGTGTACTAAGGCAAACAAGAAAATCGTTTTTCATTCCTTTCCAAATGACTGTAATCTCTAATTAGAAATGTAATCAACATTCATGTATTTCATCATTAGTTTGAAGAAATCAACTTCAAGGCGGAATTAGATATCAGTTCAAATTAGATAATAAAATAACTAAAACCCTTTGAAGGTTTATGGGGTCAATCTTCAGTTCAATTAAACGCCAGTGTACTTTAAAAGCTAAAGAAAGAGCTTAGACCCGTAGCCTTTCAAAAACGCAATGAGATAATTAGGAAATCTCGTCATATCTGAGATCTGTCTCCATCAACTACCAGTCATGTTGTTTGAAGCTTACCCAAAAGTAATTTACAAAAGATTTGATCGTACCTACTTAGGCATTTACGATTAATTATACATATTTTCCTCCAATGCAGGTATTACTGAAGAACGCTGTTTGGTTCCTGTTTAACTTCTTGATCACCGACTTAACATTTAAACAAACTACCAGACACAAACAAAACAGTTAACTTATAAAAGATTGTATGAAGATATATACTCACACGACTGTATACGTAGAAAATACAGTATGATCCGATTTCACATGCTGTGATGTATTTTAGTACACCTTAGGTCACGAACTGTCCATTAATATACATCTCTACGCCAAGACGTGTTGGACATCCCTGGTCGTGTTTGTACATTTACACAATACATCCACGGTAACTGTTGAACGACACTGTCTCGCATTCATATAATGCAGTTCCAACGTGTCTGGGAAATTGATAAAAATCTGGACATAGTTGCCACAACGGTGATAAAACTCGTATCGTAACATCACAGAGACAGTTAATTGATGTCGTAA